TGAGTTCTGACACTTCAGCAGAGCATTGTCCTCCCACTGAGAGCAGCCTCAAACCCAGCAGGTTTCACAGCAAACTCCTGCAGTTTAACCCAGGAATTCTCTCAGGATCCCTTCCCTGCTGTCACCTCCCTCCAGTCATTCACACTTTGATCCCTTCTGATCCCTAAGATCCCTTCCAACCCTATCCATTCTATGATTTTTTTTTTAATACCAAAACAACATTTTCTATTTAAAACTCTAAATAATACCCCTCTATTCCATCCTTTAAGCACTTTTCTTTTTCTCCAACAGTTTACCTGCAGAGTTCCACAGAAGTGTCTTCACCAGTAAATAAACACAAGTTTATCTCTGAAACCAACCTATAATTGTAGAGAAAAGACTGATTTTGGCACGTTAACTGATGGGTGCAAAGTTTTTGTCACTAAAATGATTTGTTTTTATCCTATTCCTCCATCCTAATTATCATCTGCCAAGGGACTGAAGGGAATTACTGAGCTGTGATCAGCAGCATTGACCTTTTTGCCTTTTCACTACTTCTGTTAAGTCAGTTAACCCAGGCAGCAAAATTAGAACCAAGACTGACAGTGGAGTAAACACAAGGAAAACAGTGAAAATGGTGGGAAATTACCCTTCTCCCTCCTTCTTTGCAGCATTAAGAGCAGAGCCTCAGCTGAAACCTTGGTCTGCTAAATTAGGCAGAGGTTTGGAAAAGAATGTTCTGATTGTTAATCATGAAATGTGCTGTAATCTTCTTCAAGGCAGCTCTAACCTCCTCAATCAGCTGCATTTTCTTACTTAATTACATGATTTTAAGTACTTCTAAGGAGGTGCTGTCAGTTTTATCCTGGAGTTCTCTTAGACATTCCCCACTGTAGTCATGGTGATGATATATAGAAATGGACAAAATGCCAGAGACCACAGAAAATGTCAGAGCTACAGAACACCCACAACTTGCTCCTTGCCTAGAATTTACTTGGTATTTTTGAGTTAGCTGGAAAGATTCTCTTATAGTGCACTAATGTCCCAAAATAATGAGATTAACAGTAGATGGATAATCTTATTGCCAAACACACACACTGGGGTAATTCCCAGCTCTAGGAGTAGCTCACAAATGTTTGGGGCACCCGTGGCACAAGCAGTGCCTGAGTGTGGATCCCACTGGGATGTATTTCCCTCTGCAAACAATCTGGAACAATCCCTTCCACGCTGCCTGTCCTGGCCTAGGAGCCAGCTCCCATTATTCTGAGTCCTGCAAGCTGCCTTCAGGCTGCTAATTACTCCCTCCTCAGATGCAGGAAATTATTATTACCTGGATATTTATAACCAGCCAATGGAACATTAGTGACAGTGGGGAAAACAAATTATGAATATTTGTTACTTTAGCAGGCTCTCACCAGACCTTCATTTTCTCTAAATATTCTAATATTCTGCCTACCAGCATCTATTTTACAAGACCTTTATTATTGGTGAGCAGTACACTGTGACACCAATCACCTCCTTCAATGCTAACAGAAAGGCTGAAGTACCATGGTCCATATTTGCTCTCCCAGGAGGTTGCTGAGCTCAGCTCCTTGTGGAAGACCCTGACTGCCATTCAGCCAAATTTCCTCCCAAAAAAGCCTCCTTAATTTAAACCAAATCAAATATGTTTGTTTTATTTTTTTTTTCTAGATGAAGCTACATAACAATCAAGCTCCTGATTTTCAGCTCCTAGCCTAGGTAAGAGTTAAATTTCCTTGGTAAGTCAACAAGACAAGAGGGTTCTCACTTCATGCCAGCTATAGATCTTATCTTCAGCTCTGGGAATTACCCGAGCTGAATAAATGGGTGAATAGCTCCCATCTTGGGTTTATTTGCCTTTTATTACTGCTTCCCACCAAGTCTGACTCCCATTTCTGCAGTTCACACCTGTAAAAGGGTGGCTGCTGCTCCGACAGCATCTGAGAGCTCCCAGCAGTGGGCTCGGCGTGAACTGCGTGCTCCCTATTACAGGGATTTGGTTATGAGCACATCATTCCTCAGCATCCACACATGCAGCTGAAATTCTTATCTTTATAGAGTAAGGAGGTCAGCATTTACTGCTGCATGCCCAGGCAGCACTCAGTCCTACAGGCAGAGTTCACCTGTTCATGATTTTTATGGTCTGCAATCCATTTCAGATTGAAACATTGCCATCTTCACAGGGGTCATGCAGACAGTTTTCCTTACGCTGTTCCAAATAGATTTTTGTTGTCTTTTCCTCCCTCATTTTGCCGTGAGCAAAGGTGCAGAACGCCTCGAGGAGCCGTGGAACGGGAGGCAATCAGTTCTCACTTTCAAGGGGTAACAACTCCTTTCTGTCCTCAGAAAAAAGAATTAGTGGGTAGAAATCGAGAACAGAGCCAGGAATTAGATATGGCCACATCAGCTGGGGAAAGAGACCCAGGTAAACTGAGCTAAAGCAGTTGTAGGTGATGATGTCCCATCCATCCCCATCTATCACTGCACACAAATATCCTGGAATGGAAAGCTCTGGAGCCTCTGGAATCACAGCACATAACGTGACCCATTCCTGCTGGGACCAGGGGCTGAAATCCCATTCCCTGCCTGGGGCAGGGCTGTGGGGCCTGAGGTGTCTTTCCCACATCCTGCTGATTGCAGATTTGCTCCTTCCACCCCTCCTGTGGCTCCCAGGGCCATCCTGGTGAGCCAATAATGGACATTCCACCAGGTCCGTATCTCCTGATCCTCCTGTCCCTGAGACAGAAATTATCAGCAAGATTGGACTGCTTGGGATCACCTCATTCCCTTTGGGAATGCAGCTGCTCCCAGTGATGCCTCAGGTTTTAGCATTTATATTTTTCACGTTCTGTGCTGCTTTAGAGTGTGGGTCTGGGATTTATACCAGGGGATGCTGAGCTCTCCGCACAGAGCAGGGACACAAAACAATTCCTGCTCCAGCTGGGCACCAAGGACAAATGATCCAAACCTCAGCCCAGGAGCACAAACACCGTGGGCTGGAGAGAGAAAAACAAGCAGGGTGGGACTGATGGGCTGGAGCTGGAATGGGACAATGAACTCCAAGGTGCCAATGGAGCAGAACTGATCCCAGGGAGAGCCCCGGGAGCGCTCGTGCATTTTGGGACCATTTTGGTTCATTTGGGTTCATTTTGGGACCATTTTGGTTCATTTGGGTGCAGCCCTGGCTGGGCTCTGGTGCTGCCCAAGGTGGATCCATGGAGGAGATCCTTTAATAAATCCCTGCTTTTTTCTGTGACCCTGCCCAGCCTCTGCTCCAGGGCAGCCTGCACAAGGCATCACCACTGGAGAGCCCAACCCCAGCACAAAGACCAAACAGCTTTTCATCCTGTGCGTGCAGGATTGACAATTAAATCAAAGCAACAACTACAAATTAACTGGTCATTTCCAGCTTTGTGCATAAACACAGTTTTCATTCTGGAGTACTTGTGGGAGTCATGGCTAAATTCTTGCTTTTTTCTGAATTAGCAGAGCTGGCGTGACCAAACCAGATGCTTCAGGACTGAAGATTTCTGTTAATATAATGAGCATTGCATAACATTACAGATTATTTCCCCCTCAGTCCTATTATTATTACTACTATTATTACTATTATTACTATTAGTAGTAGTAGTAGTAGTATTAAAATCTCTCTGGTTTAGGTGGTTTAGTGCCTATCTAGTAGAGATTAGTTTCCAGAAGCAGCAGAATTGTTGGGGAATAGTAAAATCTGGAGTTTGGCATTTATTTCTACATCAACTCAAAATGAGGACATCCTAATTAATATCCATATGTATATTTTATATTTTCATAACTCCTGCTATGTCATGGTAGAAGGAGGAAACCCCTTCCCCTGGTTCAACAACCAATTCTCATTAAAGACTGTAAATAAGCTCAAAGTTAATTCAGGAATTGCTGAATAAAAACCTTACCCACACACACGGCCCTGAGAATTTTCAGAGCATCACCAAGTTTTTGAAATTAGCAGTAAATGCCCTGAAATGCAAGAAATGTTGCCAAATAAAGGAGTTGAAGAGTCACCATGAGATAGAATTTAGTCAGAGTACCTCAAAAATTACTTATTCCATCTACAGCTCCATTTCTCAATTAGCAGATTCTTCTATTTAAATTTGCATAATTAAAGAAGTTGTCTTTACAACTGACAAAATCCTAATTAGATGTCTCAGGTAAGATTAAAAATAAAGCTTTCTTCTTTGTTGTTCTGTAATGTATTAAAATATAATTAAAAATGTATTTATAGTTTGAAGACTTTCAAATTGCATCTCTGCTACTTTTCCTAGAGGCCGTTTTAGAAGTTTAGAGATCTTTTTACACAGTATTTTTTTTTCATCAGAGAGAACAAATTCTTATTTATCCAAATCAGCCTTTAAGGAAAGCATGAATTATCTTTTCCTCTCTCATCTATTTAAGATTTATTTTGATCACAATCCTCCAACATGTGACTTTTGGAGAAATAAAAGACCAGACATGATTTCTCTGGACAAAAATTTGGTTTAAAAAAAAAAATAGTGAAAATGTTTCCTAATTTCTCGATAGTTCTACCCATTAAAACTGTGCTCTGGTGACAAAAATAGGAATTGGATTTCTGTGCATGGGGAGGGGGGATTGGAAAAATGTTTTAAACCAAAAATGAGTAAAATCTTCAAAGATAAAAAGCAGACACATTCCAGCAATCTGCCACAGTGGTGATAAATTATCTGTTATTCTATAAAATATCATTACAGTAAAAAGCAAGACTAATCAACTGAATTCTTTAAAATTTCATTTAAAGGAAATTAACCATGCAGTGGTCTTAGTGTATAAACAGTAACCCAGCACTCACAACACTACAGGAAAGATTCTTCTGGAGGTAAAGGTTTGAAACCTCCTCAAATTTAAATATAAGAACTTCATAATAACAGAGAAAATGGCAATGCTGCTGTAAAGTTAATATATTATTATTAATCTATTAATCTATTATTAATAATCTATTAATCTATTAATCCATATAATATATTTTATATATTATATTATATTATAAAAATTGTCTATTGTATTATATTATAATTTCTATTCTATTCTATTCTATTCTATTCTATTCTATTCTATTCTTATATATTTATATTGATTTATATTGTGTTATATATAATTTACATATTATAATATAAAAATATTGGAATTCTCATGTTTTATCATCTAGAAATCTAAAATAAGACCAGGATTGATGGCCTGTAAGCCACCAGTCTGCACAGTCCAGGGTGGAAATACTTCTATTGAGCTCATCAGGAACACAGAAGAAATTATAGTGTGTTTGGAGAATTCTCCAACTAAATTACAGCTTTCCAGGCCTCCCTACTCAATAGGCCACAATAAGTTAACAATGTGAGATCAATATTTTGTTCAGTTATCTCATTAAGAGATGATAATGCCAGACCCCCTCTAAGTGATCTATTACCTTCTGTTGCCTCTGGAAAATAATCTCTACCAGAGAGGCACCAAAGCAACCTCAGCCAGAGAGATTTGAATAATTGATACACAGGATTTGGGCAAAATAATCTGTAAAATTGCTGTGTGCCCATGAAGTTGACAAAAATGTCACTTCCTGCAGCCACACTGATCTACATGGCAGGGTTTGGGATTTCTCCTGCTTTCCCTTCTTGTTACATCTCTGATATTCCATCAGAACTCTTCAGCTCTCAGCCCTCTTCAGTTCTGCTGAAGTTTTGTCCAGCAGGAATAGGAAAAGAGTTTTGAATAAAGTGACGTGAGGTGATTGCTAAAACCAGCACCCCTAAATGTTGACATGGCCTGGGCAGGGGACACACAGACAGATTTCCTCCTTTTGGGTATCTGCTTATTGTTTTCAAGGCTCGAATTATGGCCAGGCTAATTCAGGAATTGCTGGATGGGAAGCTGCTCACCCCTAAAAAATGGGAGCAATTTGCCAGCACCATCATTCACTCACTCCCATGGTGGAAAGAGCAGGTTCCTTGGGAGCCCATAAAAATCCCACCAAAAACACAATCTCAGCAGCTTTGCTCCAAGACTGACAACTTATGAGCAGTAAGGCTTCAGCCACACTTAAAGCAAGAGGTTTTAGGTCCACTGCCATTGGACTGCCAGATTTTGGGGGCAAGATGATAATTTTGGTGTCTTTACAATGTTTCAGCCTGGTGGTCAGCTCTGATTGATCCCACAGAGGGAAAGAGCAGCCAAAAACTGCTGCCACATGTTAAATCCCATTTGATAATCTGCTTCTTTTCACTAAATACTTGCATTCACTTTTGAGGGTTCTTTTATCCATTTTAAGGATGCTTGTGTGACCATGAACAGCTGTAGAGATGGAAATTCAAGGCCTGTCGAGTCTTTTCTCTCAAGCAAATGGGTATTCCAGGGCAGGTTAATCAAGAAAATTTTCAGAGAATCATGGAATGATTTGGAAATAAACTTAAATCCCATCCAGTGCCACCCCTGCCATGGACAGACACCTTCCACTACCCCAAGCTGCTCCAAGCCCTGTCCAGCCTGGCACTTCCAGGGATCCAGAGGCAGCCACAGCTCCTGGCTGAGCCCCCCCATCCTCACAGAGAAGAATTTTTTTCCTAATATCCAAGCTAAACCTGCCCTTTTCCAGTTTAAAGCCACAAATGAAACTTGCAAATGATATTATCTTCTGGATAAATCAAGAACTTGCGCATAGAAAAATGTCAATGCATTAAGGGAAAAAAACACAGAAATCTTCCCTTTTTGTGCATGAAGTTGAAATTACAGCCCATCAAGTGTAACCTTCCCTGACTCCTGAGTTTCTGCTTTCCTGCCTTGTTCACACAGGAGCTGCACCGTGAGACTTGTGATGTGTGAACGTGGGTTTGCACAGTGCTCCAGCTGCAAGGGAGAAACAAATCACTTTAGCATTTTTATATTTTTAAATCTCCTGCCTGCTGATGTTCCCTTCCCTCTGGCACGTTTTGTGTTAGAGCTTCATTGTTGTTCAGCTCCTGCTTTTTATTTGCTAATATTACAGTAATCCGATTACAAAGCAGGAAAAATCAGCATGCAGTTGGGGTGGCTAATCACAGCCTGAACGCCAGCTTGTAACTTGGAATACCTGGGAAAAGGCAGTGTGGGGCTGATCTGGAGATAGAAATGGAAAAAGCTGCAGGGTCAGGCAAGCCCAGAGAACAACCAGAATCCTGGTGATTCCATGGTTTTTATGGGAATGCAGACATCAGACTTGCTGATGGGTGTTTCAGTCACTTGCCAGCACAAAGAGTTAATTTCTGCTGCAAAAAATGTTTGTTGTCCCCTTGTCTGAGCCAGAGGAGCCAGATTTGGGGCTGGTGTCCCTCTGCAATGCCCAGAGCCCCAGCTGGGATTGCACCAGCAGGGAGGTGGGCTTGGGCTCCGTTCTAGGGTCAGCCTGGTGCTCCTCACCTGGGATCTGAGCTGAGCACCTGCTGGGCCTGCATGAGACAAAAAAAGCACCAGCAGCACCCCAGAGAGATGGAACCCAGCTGGAGCTGCCTCAGCACCAACCCACAAACCTCTGAGGAGGAGCAGCCAGCTGGGAAAGCTCCAGGCTGCTCCAGGAGCTGAACTGATCTGCCCGGGCGTGCACATGGAGCTGATGGGAGGCCCCAAATCAGGGCTCATTTGAGTGCAGCACTGAGAAATTACCACACAGACCCCACTGAGGCTTAGCTCATCCTTCCCTCTGTGCCTCAGCTTCCCCAGCCCTGAGCCAGGGACAGTCACAGCCCAGCTTTTCAGTCCCTGCTCCTTTGAGCCATTCATATGGCATTTTCCTCGGAGCATCACAACTTGAACATCCAGGAGGGGTGTGATAACACAAATATAACGCAGCAAAACAGAAAACAAAACCTAGCAGGAAGCCCTCATCTCTTTTTCCTAAAGCTTTTCTTCTGTTGTGTGTTAAGATTTAAGAGCCAGAGGATGTTTTTTAAACAGTACAAGCACAGGTGAAAAACCCAAGAAATCCAAATTGCCCTGCAATTAGTTCTTCATAAATAGGTGCAATGATCTCTCTCTCATCAGCTATTGATTGACAGCAGCCAAAGCTGATGTGATTTGCTTTGTAAATACTTCAGAACAGAAATAATGAGCATTGCAGGGAAGCAAAGCAGGTCACTCCTGCCTTTAAGAACGATCAGAAATTTTGAACCATTTAAATGCTGACACAAGAAGAGAGGAAGCACTGGAGGCCTGCACAGAAGCCAAGTCCTTCAGGGATTTTTCTGGAGAGTTTTTATACTGCTGGAGCTCATCACCAAAGAACCAAAAGCATCGTGGAGGCCACTGGATTTAGAGACATCTCTGAGCAAAATTGCAGCATCCAAGGGGATGCACTACAAGCTTTGAAGTGCTCCAGTCCATTTGGAATTTCATTACCAGGCACAGAAAAAGTAAAGATATCATTCTAAAAGTGTTTCAAAACAAGATCTATACTTGCTGGATGCTCCCAAATGTTTCTATTAATAAAAACTTCTGATATTTTGTGCTCAAGGAAACTATAAAGGTCTTTCAGAATCTGTGCAGGGAAGTAGCACAGAAGCAAAAATTCTCTTTTTAGCCCAAAGACAGCCTTCAGAAGAAAGTTCACAGTAAGCAAGAGTATAAAGAGGGACCTACATTTAAAGAATGATTATGCAGCTCCCCTCCTTCTTTAAAGGAAAGGAGTTAATCTCACTTTTTCCTCCCTCAGGACTTTTAAATTATTTTTAAAATGAAATACTTCCACATCATTCTTCAGCCTCCCCTGAGTGAATGATAACGTGGTGTGGGTAACACCAAACTTAGTTATTTTGTTTGCCTCAGATTTACTTCATTTTGCATTTCTTACAGCCTCAGACACCTTTGGAAGACAGGGAGGAAGCTGCCTATGGACAGGACGGGCTGGGAAGCACCAAGGAAGAGGCAAACACAACTCCAAGCAAGTGATCAAAGACATTTGTTCAAACAGAAGTCTTCACCTTATGTGCAAACACTTCTGAAGTGCAAAGTTCTGTCTGGTGGTACCCACTTCCATACACACCCTAATCCAGGGGGCTGGACTGGGAATTCTGTAAGGAGTCAGTGGGGAGAGATAAGGAATTAATTTCCATTCCAAGCATCAGCCCAGCCATATCTCAATCAACACAGCAGCAGCAGCCCCTGCCCAAGCTAAGGACTTGCACACACCCATCAGGAACTGTTAGAGAATTTCTGAGAGAGAGAGGGCAGGATTTATGTCTGGAGTGAGAATTGAGCTACCCCTGATAAGTGCCTTGATGGGGCCTCGAAGCCTTTGATGCAGTGAGAATTCAGTAGTGGCGCAGTCAGAAATTATGTTAAGGTAAATACAAAGTAAGAACCTGAGTGTGAATTAGAGTAGAGCTGCAGTGTGAAAAGCCTGACCACCTTAAGGCAAAGGTAAACAATGTTAGTGTGCCAATCAGAGTGCCTTGTAAACTGTAAACTATATGGAAGTGCATAAAAACTGCCATCTTCTCTGGAATAAAGAGAAAACGGTGCATTAACCATGTTGGTTGGATGTGCATTCTGTCCTGTCCAGCTTTCCCGTTTTACGAGGTCCCCGGCTTTAAGGAATAGGTTTGGATTCTCCTGGAGCGGTCTGCAGGACGTGCATGATGGATGGAATGATGGATGCCTGAATTTCACCCAGACTCTGTATTTACGTGACCCCTGTGCAAAGCCAGCCCCCTCACCCACCCCACAGAACACACAGAGCAGTGCCCTGGAGACAGAGACCACCTTTCACNCCCCACAGAACACACAGAGCAGTGCCCTGGAGACAGAGACCACCTTTCACTCAGCAAAGATGCTTCTCACAGGGAAAGGGATTTCTGCCAGCTCCGCAGACCAAAACAACAATCAATAATTTCCTCTATCTGCTCCAGCCAGCAGGGACCATTGCACACCAGCTCCAGCCACCCACGCAGCCACTGTACAACTTCCCCTCTCATTCATGCAAAAAGCAGCCCTTAAGAGCCTTTCACTGGATCAGGGCTCGCTGCTCTTGGCTGGGTTATTTTCTTTGTGTTTCTAAGCAATGCCTTGTTGCCAATCAGTTTGTTTGTTCTGCAGCTAAACTTCACTTTCTCATGCCCGCTTCAGTCCCTGTTTGATCTCTCAGCGTGATTTTGGGCATCTCACTTCCATTTCTTCCCATCCATTTGCATTTTGGCTGCCTTCACTGTCACCTTCCTGACACGCTGAGCTCCTCTCCCTGCTTCTGTCTATTCTACACAATTCCTACAAAGAACAGAAAACAGGGCCGGTATTTGTGTTCGCCTAAAAAAGCAATTCCTTCTGCAGCCACAGCCTTCACATCCCGACAGCAAGTAATCTACAGCTTTCTAAAGCCCTGAGACAGATTGCAAAACCTTAGTTTAACAAAAAAAAAAAAACTTCCAGCAGGGATGAGGAAAGAAGAACAGGAGGGATGCTTTAAAAATGCCCAAAATGCAGCGGTAGTCTGAATGGTAGCACGGGGATGATTTAACATCAATTTTCTCACCCATGTTAGCGAATGTATTTTGAATACGGGACACAGGCACAAAAGGCAACTCTGCTGTGGACTTATTAATCTATTTTGTGAGGAAGCATCTAGAAAATAGTCCTGGAGGAAGAGATTAGAGAGCAAATCCCAGGCCCTTTGGGGAAGAGCCGCAGTGATCCATTGTCTGCCGCAGCTTTATCTGGAGAAGGATCTTGCAGAAAGCGCCGTGCTCTGCACTGCTCACCACTGCACATCCTGGCAATTTCAGACACTTTTCCAAGCAGGGGCCATCATTATTGTCCCAGAGAACCATTTATAAATAAAGCTGATGTTTGTCAAAGCTCCGACTCGCGGTACAAAACTCCCAACTCTGGTTTGCTGCCATTAAACACCCCGAGACTTCCTGCTGGATAAAACTTCTCTGCCTATTGGAAAGGTACTTCCAGAAATGTCAATGGAATGGGATGGAGGAGAAAATTCGATTCACTGGGAGATGTTCAGGTGGGTTTCTGGCTATGTGATCCCCCTTCCCTCCTGCCACACATAATTTCAGTGAATTTGCTCTCTCTGAGAAGTAGCCTATGTACCTCTTTATACTGTTATTTATTATTAAATATTTTTGAACAGTTTTTTTTTCCCTAAAAATGTCCTATATTGTTACCCATGACTCCATTTTCTTTTCTCCATTAAAATTTAATCTTATTATCAGAAAATTACTTTTTTTGCCCCCTCTAATAACTCTTGTATGACAGACAGCCAATTTTACTGACATCAGATCCTTGCAGCATGTACTGGAGATCAAGAGGGGGAAAAAATGACTACGAGGCAAACCATGCATTATGGAATCAATATGACATGCTGTATCCAACCATTTTTTTTTTCTCCTGAAGACAAGAAAACCCTCCCATCAATTTTATTCTGTAAAAGAAGAAAGCTGCCATGAGCCTGATTGAATAATCACAACCTTAATTACGCTGAGCAAACAGTATGAGGGGGACTGTGATAAATTAGGGGAAATCCTCAACATTCTAATGCATCTTTCAGGCCATTCAGAGTCCCAGCAGCTCTGTCACTCCTTAACCTGCCCTTCCTCCCCTCAGTTCCATGGGCTGAGATTTGAACATGTAAAATTGAGTAAAATAGATGAGGGATGAAAATTGCTTTGAGTTCGGGGAAGAGGGACCCAAATATTCCCCCAGCCTCCTCGGGATGATCACCCCAACAGCCCCTGGCTCTGAGGGAAATGAGGTTCAGGCAGACGTTTCCTCTTTTGAAAGAGACAAATCACTGCCTCGGCTCCCTCTCTACTTCATGTGAACAAGGACAAATAAATGATTGGCACCTGTCAGATAACAGCCAAGATGATTCATCCCAAACACAGCAGTCATTTTCCAGTAATGAGAAATACCCAGCTTCATTCTGTGGGAAGTAAATCTTGTTAGAAGAAAAATGATCCCTTAAGAACATGCACCACGGAGCTTTGGTGCTGCTGCAGCTCCCTGAGGGCTGCAGAGAGGTCTGAGGGTTTTTTTCTGGGCTAGCAGGGCTTGAAACCACACCTGGGGTTGCTGTGAGGTGCTGCCATCATGCAGAATGACACTCGTGCCACCAAACAGAGGATTTGAGTCTGCTCTGGGCCCATGGCACAAAGCATGAACTCTTCGTTTGTGTTCAGTGAATCAGAATCCTTTGGTTGAGTCCAGCATTAAGCCAGCACTGCCAGGTCTAATTCACCACTAAACCAGGTCTAATTCAGTCTCACATCTAAACTGCTGTCCCCAGTTCCTCAGGGGACACTCAGTGCTCTGTCACACCCCCTAGAAAAGGGTTCTTGGCAGGGTCTCAGGGGCTGCATGCCCCTCATCCCCAGCTGCAGGGACAGTGCATCAGGAGCTGTTCCCAGTGTGATCCCACAGCCCCAGAGTTAAAGTTCTGGCTTTGCTTCAAGGAACCCAGAGGTTTGGCACTTGCAAAAAGCTGTGCAACGTGAGCCAACCACAGCATGTGGGGACTGTCCAAAGATCTTCACAAGGGCTTTCCTGCTCCCTTTTGGACTAGG